GTCGGCCACGTCTGCTCTCCGTCCATGGGGTCCACAATGGCTTCTGCCAGCAGACTCTCCCTGCAGGATGGGTCGGCTTTCATGAGGACCCTCACTGGAGCCTCATCGTCACCTCCATCCTGTGGGAAACACAGATGACCGAGGTAAATGGGAAAGTTAAGATTAAACTAAATGCACAAAACAATCTAAACAAACTGTTAAAAGTCCATTCAAGGACCATACCAGTGTTTTTTGGATGTTCCATCACTTTTATTGTGTGACATTAACATTACTTATTATTTTTAAGGACACCAGAGCGTTTTGCATTCTTCAACTGTTCCAGTCTGACACTATTTTCATTCATTAAACTATTTGAAAATCTGATACTGGTATATCCTCAAGTAATCAATACCATGACTGATTTAAATGTTGTCAGTGCTGCATAGTAAGAATGTGTGCACACCATTATTATGCAACAGAAATATGACATTGACAAAAATAGTTTTCTGACTTCCTATTCACTGGGATGTTTCAAGTCTCTTCACCTACCAGCATGTCAACATCTCCTGCCTTGCCAGACTTTGCTGGTCTGGCTGTTGTTAAGATGAGGGGAAGAGGGTCTGCTGGAGCATCAATCTGACTGAGCTGAAAGTCTCCGTGTCCACTGATGTGCACCAGCCTGTCGACTTGTAGAGGACGGCCACGGACGTACCCTGAGACGCAGAGGGTGCCCAGGCCGGTGGGTCCACCACTTGTCCCCTCAGCGGGGCTGTTGGCTGTAAAAGTGACATGCTGAGCCAAAAGATGGGATCGTCGGGAGCGGAAACCGAGCTTTCTCCGTCTCTGAGTGCCGATGTGTCTGAGAAGCAGAGTGGCATCCTGCTCCGAATCCAGAGGGAAGAGACGGGCATCAGGGAAACGGATCTCTGTGATCTTAGACAGAGCTTTTCTAGACTCAACCCTCTTCTTCACAGGAAGATCAGACACACCCTGACACACCAGTGCTACAAGGGGGGGAAATTAGCAATTAGCAACAGAGAGACAAGAGCTTAGAAAATGTACACCATAACAATCTGAAATTATGCATAAATCTGATGCAACAACAATCTTTCCCAATGTGAATGGAAGAGTCTAAAAGCTCCAGCAGTGTGTTCAAGGTTTCTACCCACCATGGCTGGGGAGGCCCTGGGCAAAGAGGCAGGAGAGACAGTAGTCTCCATAGCTGTCCCAAGCTTCAGCAGAGTCCAGCACAAATACAAGGCTATCTGCAATCTTTGCCACATCCAGCAGGGAGTGTATGTCAGCTGTCCAAAGAAACCATAAGAGAAGCTTAAGTATGGGACAACATGATGTCCAAAGCAAAGACAAAATAGTACAGCAAATGCCTATAACATGGAACAAGCTAAAAACACTTATTTTAAATTGGTGTTAAAAAAAGTGCTTTTTATGTTGTTTTGCATTCTTTGAAAGCCTAATGAACACATTTCATTTATAAAAACAGTCCAAAATATTATTCATATAAGAATCACCTGCATTATAACTCAATCTATTCCACTTCAGTTGAGTCTTTTCAAAGCAACTGTTCGGCATCACTCAATACTTACCCGTGCTGTGGCTGAGAAAGGTGAACCGTTGCTTGAAACGAGGCAGAAGCAGCCCAAAACTGTCAGTGACGCCACTGACACAGCGCTCCTGATGTACGACACCCCCAACGCCCTCCCCACGTAGCAGTTTGGTAACCGCACCAGCATCCACTCCGGCGTGGAGTGACAACACAGCGACCAAATGTGGAGGACCGTCCCTGGTGCCTAGACGTCGCTTCTCTGTCAGGACCTAAAAAAAGACAAGAGAAAGGGACGCTCTGCAGCACCAATCAGGAATCCAAAGACTATTCTTTATGTGAAGAAAAAACAATTACCATGTCTTTCTTATTCCTGCGTATCTGGTTGGCTTTGTGCCTTCTGTCCATCCGCTTGTGCTCCTTCCTCTGCTTCTTGGTAAGGGCCATCACTGACACTCTCCCTGAGAGACAGGTCAACACAAGGATTTATCATTATGTTGAACATTTAGAGTTTCGTAGTTTTATGATTCAATATTTGAACTGCTGTTTGGTTTCAACGTGTCCTTTTGGAACAGCGTGTGAAGAAGATATTGACATGGCTGTCTGTTGACTATTGAAGTTATGATTGATGTCTATAATATATTTGCAGATAGATGGACAACATATCAAAAAAACACCCGTTTGGTTCTGTGCAAATTATTTGATGGATGATTTTTGAGGAAATACTTTGTTTTATCATTACAATTATTACATTATCATTGACACAAACATTATTTAACAATGTATCACCTCAAAAATTACCACAGAGATCAATCAACACCTATCTTAACTAGTAAATATAATATTTTTACATGAGAAGGGATATTTCATATTTGCAGTGTGTTACTATTCCCTTGAGCTATACATTTGCAATAGGTTCTCAATTGTGTATGTTGTTGTTTGATACAACCACTTAAAATTAGATCTAAAAAAACTCGCCGATTAATAGAATAGGACAACTGCTGTCCTGCGATATCTGGTGGCCCTGATTGGTCCCATGTGATTTTAAAAAAGGTCATGGGTCACCTGGAGTTGGATGTACACCAGCAGTTAGTTACCAACGGCATGCGGACGGGCGTCTTTACGCAATTTCTTACACATGTATAGAGTTGATTTACATTTATACATGTTCTACTGAACTGATGCCATCCAAAATCCAGTGGAAAACACGTGTGTCTGCGGAGCCATGGCCACAGCAACAAGCTAGCCGTAGCAGTTACATTGTATAACAGAACATGGCATACCTTTGTTTTCTCTCTCAACTTCCCCTTTCGTCCGGTGCTTGCCATGTTTGTGACCTTTATTTTTCTGTTTATAAATGCCGGCTCGGTGGCCCTGTTGTTTTTCCTCATTCGCAACCATTTTCACCATGAGGGAAAGTCAGGCGATTCACTTCCGCACTCGTGATGGCGTCATGACAGAGGCGTGTCCTCAGGCTCTCCGGAGAGGTTTGCTTTTCAAAACAAAAGCCTGGGTCACGATGACGTGAACATAAGGTTTGTGGGATGCATTTCCGAGATAAATTTGCATGAATTAATACTGCAATTATACTACTGAATTTATTGCATAAAACCTAAATAAATTAAAATGACACCTTAACATATTCTATAGATGAGCTACATTCAATTACAATATATTACAGAAAGTATATGTATGCTTGAGATTACAGTCACAGAAAAGTTACAAGAGGAAAAAAAGTTTTCAAATCAAAAAGTTTATTTTCTCAATACGATCTATAAAATAAACATGATCACAAATACTATAGGACTATTATTTATTACTACTGTATAGATGTGAGAGCTCAAACCACTGAAAAGATGTATCCCCCCTCTCTCATCATCCTCTGATATTCAATCCTCCTAGCGGTCACTCTATAGTGATTTAACTTCTTTCCAGGCTCCTTTTAAACAAAACACACTCACTTTTGACCTGGAAGTAGAACAGTGATGGAGGCCAGAGAAAACAATTAAGGAACCTCTGATACAATGACCTCAGTCAAAATTGGCCTTTTCATCCAGAGGCTCCTGTAATGGCAGCATTCTTAAGTTACTGGGTCCCTTTGGTTGCCTTCATGCAGTATAACACTTCTTAACAGCTTTTTGTTGTAAGGAAGCCTGCTATCTGTCAACTACCACCTTGTCTCACCAACCACCATCATTACTTGTTAACTTTCACCACTTTAGTGAAACAAATAAGTCTAATTCGCTCATCAGCACTGCTCACATCTGCTTTACATTCACTTATTTCAACTGTCACCGTCAACACCATGATGATCATTATTGTTTATCCTAATTTTCAATCGGCATCCTCTTGAAGAGGAAGCATGTCAAAGTAATGCAGCATCCTCCACTCGCATTTAAGCAGATCAAAAGGACGCCTAAGAGCCAACTGGAGTAGAACTTTGCCATTTGTTGGCTTTAGAACAGGCAGGTTATTGTACAGGCTGAGTTACTATGCAGATAGTGATGATTGGAGAAAGAGGGGGGGTGAACTTGAAGGAGAGGCTAGAGGGGATTCTTCTGTACATTGTTACATCATGCAGAAACCAACCAAATGAAGAGAAAAATAAACAATAGCCGACTATCATGCACTGCCCGAAGACAAAACTTTCATACTCTCGGTCTGCTGATCAAGGATTCCTTAAGTATGATAAGTTCCACCCACCAAAAGAGTTTTGTAATGCCCTGGAATTTTTTTTTCTTCTGGATCTTCTTGAACAATATGTCCACTTTTAAGCCTAAAATGTCCACTTGTACATAAGAAATAATACAGTAAAAATACAGAAAATATAAAAGAATGTGAATGGCAGACCATGAAACACTAGCCTACTGACCGCGTCCATATCTCTTGAAGCCAGAAGAGAAAACAATATTTTGGACTCGCCATGAACTTTAATTACCTTCAACAGACTCACTTCAGCAGGCTAGGTCTCTAACTACGAATACATTTTAATATGTGATAAAGTAGTTAACCCCAACAATCAAAATCATTTATATTTTTCAGAAATCAGCATTTTCTATTGCAAAATTATTCACTTTTACATGACCTATGGTGTGGTAATTTAAGTCAGAAACAAATATGAGGAAATGCTATGGACAAATGAATAACACGTTTTGTAAGAGTTTATGTTCTACAGTTTATAAGATATAAGTTTTTTACTTACGTCTCCGCCTCTGAAAGTTGTTGGGTCAGAGAGAGTTTACTGCAGTTACAACAGGGCGGAACTGCAGTTTGCAGTAAGTCGAAGGAAGACGGACAATCCGCCATAGTAACAGTTTAACTAAACAGCCAAGTAAGTAGTTAACATGCCAGCGTGCTAGGTTAAATCCACAGTTTTTTTTATCTAACGACATCGTGGTTACCAACACGGATTGTTTTGGAGGTGTTTGAACTTCCCTCACATTCTCCTCAACGTATTTTCACGAAGGGAGGCGGCGGCGGAGCGCTCGGCAGCCATCTTTGGACCTGAGTGGGATTCTACTTTGGCACCACAGTTACTTCGAGGGTGGGGATCTTAACCTACAATAATTTGCTAATCTTACATTTATAATCGACTGACAGCGGTAAGAACCACAAGGATTTAACGTACGACATAACCGTGTCGGGGAAGAATACTTTTATAATCCCAAACTGTTGTGAATAACACGACATTCTCTACAGTGCTGAGACCTGGCCTGTCAGGAGAGGGTGAGTTTCAGCTAACTGGCTAAGCTAAGTTAGCAAACATCACATAGGAAAGCTTGCTAATTTAGCAATATCTGGTAAATAACTATTTAAAGTCGGTGTAATTCCCCATCATTCGAGTAGTTACTTCACTGTTCACGTTGTAAATACGTCGCGGATATTGTTTGGACTGTTTGATCATATGACACGTAACTTAGCTTAGCTAACGTTAAGTTTGGTGTGTAGCTAACAGTCAACGTCGGCTGGGTTGGGAGCTCCTGAAACCCTCTGAATTTGTGAGATCGAGAGTGTTGTTTTGGGGTCTTTACATTCCAGACTTTGTTAGTTTGATTTACTGATGTGGAAAGTGACAACTTTCAGAAAATCCCACTAAGTGCTCTAGCTAATTCCACTTGTGTTGAAACTCCAGTGAGGTGTTACCCAGCCTCACAGGTAACTGTGGATAGAGCCCAGCAGGTAAGCCTAGTTTTGGGTAAACCTTGGTCATCTGATTGTGGTTTATTACATTTGTTCAGAGCAATAACACTACTGTACAAGTGTCTACTTATCCCCACAGTCAAACTCTGATTAGACCCAATTGCCATCTTGCTCGATTCATGTACTGTAACGTAAGCCTGTACATAAGACACACACTTTGTTTTTTGTTCTTTGACATATGTGGCGAAGATAGAGGAAACACTGGTGGTTGGCACTGTGTGATTATGTGGGTTTTTTTGCCAAAAGGAAATGACTTAACTGACCAGCATTACTGATAAGTTAAGTGCTGACTTCTAAAAAAAAGTGATGGTACAGATACATTAACTGCGTGGTACCAAAGCTTTAAAAACGTTTCTTTCACAGTGTTTGCAATTGCAATCCACATCTGTGTGCATGCCATTGCTGTTGAGTCAAGAGAGACAGATAATCACCAGTCAAAATGCTCACCAGGGCCCCTTCCTACCTCCCTATAGCTGTGTGAACAGGAAATGCAGCGCAGTGAGGGCATACATTGGGAATTCCAGCCCTCTAGCTTTGTTGTCCTGTCCTGCTGCATTCTTGTGCATATGTGTGTGTGCGCGCTGTGCTTGTTGGAACGCACGGGTGTTTTATGAACGTATCAGTTATCATCACTCACTTTTGTGCTCACGTGTCCACAGTAGGGGGAAAATGCCATCGGGAGATATGACAACAAAGCTCATTCATGAGCAACACTGTAGTAAAGAACAATGGCAATAAAGAGGCACAGTCCCTGCATAGTAATGAGGCTTTATTTCAGGGCCGTGGCTTGCGTCTGTGTGGAATAGTGAGTTGTTCAGTGTTGTTGTGAGACAAAAGATGTCTACTTGAACTGGGGGCTGTTTCTCCCAGGCTGGGAAAGAAGTCTTGTGACTCCAGCATCAGCTCTGCATCTGTGTGCAGCTGATCATCTGAGCCACATGGGCTCAGTAAAGCTTCCTCAGTTATCTTTTACAAGTCTACATCTGTATTACAGCAGTGAAGTTGTATAGCAAACTATTTACTAGACAGTTTAAGCCAGACAGTGGTTAGGGACATTATGCTATATTCTGTAAAGGGTGTCCTTTTTATTTTATCTAAAATACAAACAAACAAAAATCAGGTTAATCCACACACCCAACTACAAATATTTTCAATATTTTTCAGAAAAAACAAGGGTATTCCTGTCTACCCAGCTCATTTTTTGGAAAAGCACACTGTTTTTTTCCAGTTTTTTAACGCAGTGATCACCACAAACAATCAATCGTCTTTGTATCGGTATTTTGCAGCTGTATACCTTTTTCAAAACTAGGGCAAATAAAACCAGAAGCAAATGCACGGCTAGAAACCACTATAGATAATAGAGAATAGGTGTTGCACAATCAACTGCACGGAGGTTTCATGGAAAATGTTTGGTATGTTTAAGAACGTGTGTTTACCGCATACCTACAGGTTTAACAAGTAGTCCGATCACTGGAATGCTTTGTTTCAGTTCAGGCGTCTTGTTTCAGTTCAGGCGTCTTGTCTCACAGCGCATTGGTACCTCGCCGTCTTTGTTCGAGCTGGAAATTGACATCTGCGAGACGGTTCCTTGTATCCTCCTCGCATCTGTTTGTCTCCATACCAGTCACCGAAGGTGTGAGAGGAGTTTGTTAGGACACAGCCCACTGATTTCCGTACTGTGGTTGCTGTTACTATGGAAACAGAAGACCTATCTCTTCGCTCCCTCAGGATTTTTTCGACCAGCCGTTCTCCACATTTGCACCCGACATCATGGTTCAGCTCATGTTTTGCGTAGCCCTCTCTCGCTCAGGTTAATGGGCTCTGCTGTAGCACACATGCACAGCCAGAGAGCTGTGTGATCTTGTACTTGTTGTTTCACACGGCCTCCCACTTTAACTTACATTAACAATGTAAAGGAATCTATTAGTAATGTAAATAATGTGTGTATTTCATCCAAATTAACTTAGATTTTGTACATTCCTGCTGTCAATTTGATATTCATGATAAAACCCTGTAATTTATTGTCTTTTTTTTCAACGTGTTCTTGTTTTTTTTTTTTCTTGTACTTTCAGCTCTGAACACATATGAGACCACTGTCCTGCAGATGAGCCATCGGTGGGGGCTTTCAAGGCGCTGTCGCAGACCCAGATAGTTCCTGGCGACAGCGGCTCTGCCCCCCCCCCCCTCCCCCCCACAACTCCCCATTATGCCCAACAGCAGTCGGGCGGGGAGCCTGAAGGACCCCGATGTCGCCGAGCTCTTCTTCAAGGAGGACCCAGAAAAGCTCTACTCGGATCTGCGAGAGATCGGACATGGCAGCTTTGGTGCTGTATATTTTGTGAGTATTTCACATTTGTGAATGTTTTTTTCACTATACAGAGCATGCTTGAAGATAGGGGCTTTGTAGCCTTTAAAGTCATTGGGATGACATTGATCAATTGTTTTGTTTCAGTATTCATGAATTAGAAAGCATTGTTCCATCAACCACAAAGACCTTTAGATCCTTTTAAACATTTCACAATGATTTTAATGTCTTAGTGTGTCAGCCTTGACCGACAGCTAATTATTGAGCAGACTTTACAGAAAGAATCCATTTTTTTTTAATGATGTATACTTAGCTCAATATCTTTATCCCAGTAGCTGCCATCACTAAACTAAAACCTGAATCATTGCTTATGTTATGAAGTGACAATATCATGTCAATGCACAATGTAACGTGCTTTTCATTCAGGCACGGGATGTGCGGACAAATGAGGTGGTGGCCATCAAGAAGATGTCTTACAGTGGAAAGCAGTCCACTGAGGTATAATAGCTTTCACTGATCTATACCATGTTAACAGGCAATTGTTAACCACATTTACATGCGAGTGTTTTTTTTTGTTTTTTTTTTCTAGTTTGTTGTCAAAGACTTCTAATTTTTTACGATTTTCACAGAAATGGCAAGACATAATCAAGGAGGTGAAATTCCTGCAGAGAATACAGCACCCGAACAGCATCGAGTACAAAGGATGTTACCTGCGAGAGCACACTGCCTGGGTGAGACCCTGCATGAGAGTCAATGATCAGGACTGAAATGTATGACCCCACTGATTGTCACACATTCACACTTCAACATACTCTTTATTTCATTGCAGCTGGTAATGGAGTATTGTCTAGGCTCTGCTTCAGATCTGTTGGAAGGTGAGTTGAAAACCTTTTGTCTGCCCGATGATCGCATGAGGCCACACGACTACAAACGGAGACGGTAGTCTTGCTTTTCTCTTGATTTACATCGCTGTTGGTGAATTTATCCTTTCCAGTTCACAAGAAACCTCTGCAAGAAGTGGAAATAGCTGCAATCACCCATGGTGCTCTTCAAGGGTTGGCTTATCTTCACTCCCACAACATGATTCACCGGTGAGTGTTTGGAAGCATGCTGGACACTGCTTATGCCCTCGGGCGTTCTGTCGTCCGCGTGGTGCTGTAATCATTTCCTCTTATGTGTTCGACAGAGATATCAAGGCGGGAAATGTCTTGCTGACGGAGCCAGGGCAGGTAAAACTAGCAGATTTTGGTTCTGCCTCCATTGCCTGTCCTGCCAACTCCTTTGTTGGGACTCCATATTGGTACGCTATAAAACGTTTTATTAAAAGTTTCCCAAATGTTCCATTAAAATGGTTATTAACACATTTGTTTGGCGCTGAATGTGTTTGTTTTTCTCAGGATGGCCCCAGAAGTCATTTTAGCTATGGATGAAGGCCAGTATGATGGAAAGGTGGACATCTGGTCCTTGGGAATAACCTGCATTGAATTAGGTACGGTCACTGTTGTATATGGCCTAATTCACATCTCGGACTTAGATTACAGTTGTTACATTACTTGCATCAATCTCTTTTTCTCAATTTTACAAACATCTCATTGCCAGCATTCATTTTGCTCACTTAGTCAGTCAATAACTGAATAATGTTGCTCTTTCTTCCTCTCGTAATTTAATTTCCCTTTTGCAACATGTGAATCATTGGTGTAACCTGCTGCTTGACCTGTAGCTGAGAGGAAGCCTCCACTGTTCAACATGAATGCAATGAGTGCCTTATACCACATAGCACAGAATGAGAGTCCCATGCTGCAGTCCAGTGAATGGTGAGTTTAGAGTTATATCAACATTAGCTGGTCTGTTGTTTCTTAAATATACTGAGGCCATAAAATAACTACAATTCTATAATTTTTCTTCATTTCCTCTCTTAAATTTAGGACGGACTATTTCCGAAATTTTGTAGATTCTTGCCTTCAGAAATTTCCCCAGGACAGGCCCAACTCTGAGGAGCTCTTAAAGGTAATAATCTCAACATGCCTATGACAGATTATGTTCCATGTTTAATCCCCGTAACCCTGTTAGAAGTCTGGATTTTAATGCAAGTCGTCTTTTCTGTGTTCTTCCTCCAGCATGCATTTGTCCAGCGTGAGCGGCCAGAATCCGTACTAATAGACCTGATAAGTCGGACTAAGGACGCGGTGCGAGAGCTTGACAATCTGCAGTATCGCAAGATGAAGAAGATCTTGTTTCAGGAAGCCCACAATGGCCCCACAACGGAGGCACAAGATGACGATGAGGTCTGTCACGTGACCGTTTCAGCTTTTATTCGCCTGCACTTCTTTCTTTCTCTGTCTCTGTGTGATGTCATCCTATAAGTTATAAGAGAGCGTTGGTTTAACCTCCTTACTATGTCCCGCCTGTGTTATTTTTTTAGGATCCCGAGCACAGCGTGGGCAGGACGGGTACAGTGAACAGCGTGGGGAGCAACCAATCCATACCCAGTATGTCAATCAGTGCCAGTTCCCAGAGCAGCTCTGTCAACAGTCTCACAGACGCAGGCGATGACAAGAGCGAGGTGGACATGGAGGGAGATCACACGGTCATGTCCAACAGCTCTGTGGTCCTCCTCAAACCGGTAGGGAGTCCAGGTTCCAGTCTGACCTACAGCCATGTCGTGTTACATCGTGTTCACTGTTTCAAATTGATAAGAGTAATGCATTCATTAATTACTCTGCAGTATTTTGTTCTTCTGTTTACATGCTCCGTGTGTATTTCTGCCTGCTTTTCAGGATGAGGAGACAAATAATGAAGAGTCGGAGCTGAACACCCGGCCGACTGAGCCTCAGTCCCCGCCTGCACACACTCCACGGCCAAAACGCAACCGCGAACACTTCGCTACTATACGCACAGCCTCAGTGGTAATCACTCATTCATTGAATAAGAAGATGGCTATTATATCTTCTTGTATAGCTGCTGGACATTTTCCACATCCATGTGTTCCTCAAAGGCAGACATCTTTTGACACATTGCCCTCGTGGTCATTGAATGCTTTTGCTTTAAGGCTAAAAAGGAATAATTCTGCTACTCAAAAGCAGTGTCATGATCCAGATTGAAAACACAAAAATAGTTATATAGTTACAATATAAAGGGAATCTGTGGCTTGTGTTTTCCAGCTCACTCGCCAGATGAAGGAGCACGAGCAGGATTCAGAGCTCCGGGAGCAGATCCTGGGCTACAAGCGCATGAGGCGGCAGCACCAGAAACAGCTGATGGCTCTGGAGAACAAGCTGAAAGCGGAGATGGACGAGCACAGGCTTCGCCTGGACAAGGAGCTGGAGAACCAGAGGAATAGCTTCACCCAGGAGATGGAGAAACTGATCAAGAAGCACCAGGCGTCCATGGAGAAAGATGTAGGCGTCAAGCTCATCTGTGTTCACTGAAGATTTACAAAACACTGTTTGTTTGTTTTTACATAGAGACTGATTATGGTGTGCGTTTTTTCCTTTAGGTAAAAACTTTTAACAACGACGAGAAGAAGTTCCAACAACATATTCAGAGTCAGCAGAAGAAAGAGCTCAACAGCTTCCTGGAATCCCAGAAACGGGAATACAAACTTCGCAAGGAACAACTTAAAGAGGTAGGGGGATAGTTACAATAGCATCCTAAACTTTCAGTTTACTCATCATCAGCAAATGGACACCAATCAGCACCATGAAGTCTGTTCTACCAGTCACCTGCATTCTTTCTTCTGTTCAGGAGTTGAATGAAAACCAGTTAACGCCCAAGAAAGAAAAGCAGGAGTGGTTGTCCAAGCAGAAGGATAACTTCCAACACTTCCAAGCGGAGGAAGAGGCCAACTTGGCGCGCAGACAGAGGCAGTATCTGGACCTGGAGTGCCGCCGGTTCAAACGGAGGATCTTGATCGCACGCCACACCATTGAGCGGGACTTAGTGCGCGAGGTCAGCACTCCGTCTCCTACATTGTACTTCTGGGTCTGAAATGTTGCAAATATGAATGAATTGATTAGCATGCTAAAATCGAGTTATCTTTGGGCGCATCATCACTTTGCTGTTCGTTTCTCCATGTGCACATAATTAGGAGCTAAACAAGCGTCAGACCCAGAAGGACTTGGAACACGCCATGCTTCTCCGGCACCATGAGTCCATGCAAGAGCTGGAGTTCCGCCAGCTCAACAACATCCAAAAGACGAGGGCTGAGCTCATCCGCCTGCAGCACCAGACGGAGCTCACCAATCAGCAAGAGTACAACAAGAGGAGGGAGAGGGAGCTTCGGCGCAAACACGTCATGGAGGTTCGCCAGCAGCCCAAGAGCCTCAGGGTGAGAACGCAGCTCGAGAGCAGGCGCGGCTGTTGAATATTCAGTTGACGCTCTAATTTCAGCGATAATGAAACGCTGCTCTGGGTACTTCTGGATCTACTTAACATTCAGTTCACCATTTGTCAGGCTAACATATATTTGATCTTGAATAAGCCAAGATGTGGTGAAACATGGATCCACTGCATTAAAGTATGAGTGTGGAGCTTCTACCCTCCTCTTTGGTTAGATAAACTGTTTTTAATCAAATTGAGAATAGCAAAAATATTGTGATTTTACAGCCTTAATGTAGGGGATAATGTTCTGTTCCTGCGTTGTCTTAATGTTTGCTTTTAAAGAAGGAAATGCATCACTGTTTTCTCCCTGTAACATAGTCTAAAGAGCTACAGATTAAGAAGCAGTTCCAGGACACGTGTAAGATCCTGACCAGGCAGTACAAAGCGCTGAGGAACCATCTGTTGGAGACCACACCAAAGTCGGAGCACAAGGCTGTCCTTAAACGTCTGAAGCACGAGCAGCACCGCAAACTTGCCATCTTGGCAGAGCAGTATGACCACTCCATCAATGAGATGCTCTCCACTCAGGCGGTGAGTCTGCCAGAATTATTTAGAATCCTAAAGCTGTAAAATAAGACCATGAAGGTGCCACCCGATTTTACATTCTGCTGGTTTATGGTTGTATCTTACTCATTGGATCCTGATCTATTCTGTCACCAGCTTCGTCTGGATGAGACTCAGGAGGCTCAGTGCCAGGGCCTACGAATGCAGCTACAGCAGGAGCTGGAGCTTCTCAACGCCTACCAGAGCAAGATCAAGATGCAGACGGATGCCCAACATGAGCGCGAGAGAAAGGACCTGGAGCAGAGGGTGTCCCTCCGGAGGGCCCTGCTGGAACAGAAGGTGATCCTCCTCTCTACAGGTTTCTCATGGAGAGATTATCATTGGTCTACCTCCATGATTATTGGGAAGATTTGAGTTTTAAAAGGCCAGCACACTCACTCACACAGGTTGTTCTGGTTTTATTAGACTGCTGCTCTGGTGGAAGGAGGGAAAAGGCACGCTAGGATTTACATGTGAATGTGCCAATAAAAATGATAACGGTGTAATATGTCCACCCCTAACTGGTGCGACAACATTAACAGGAGAGTAAGGGCAATGTCACACATGCACATTGAACATGAATTCAAATCCCCATTCACTTCCATTCTATGCGAGCGAAGGGACAATTAAAACATTCGCTTCCGGTGGCAAAGCAAATTAGCCTCACATGGATTTAAATTTTGGTCAACTTTGACACGTGTGTGTGTGTGTGTGTGTGTGGGGGTGGTTGACCCCACTTGGCACTGTCCACAATCAGCACAAATAGTCAGATTTCAGTCAAACACAGTCTGTAGACTTCCACTAAGTCCTGGAGAAGTTTAATGTGGTGCAATAAGAAGGAAAAGCACAGACGTAACCAAATACAAATGAATGATGGCTCTGTTCTAGTCAACTGTCTCGGTATGTCATGGCGGCGGGACACAATACCAGGACCCTGAATGTGAAGCAGCTAAATGGGATTCAGCCATGCTTCCTTTTTATTGTTTACACCATTGTGTTTCTTGAACAGATGTCCAGGAGGTGTGAAAGCTAAATATGCACAGTTGATGGATGCTTGTCGAACACAGTGGTGTTAAGTCACACTGCTAACTGTGAAGCAGATATATTGTATGTGAACATTGTCTTTTCTGTAGATCGAGGAGGAGATGATGTCCTTGGAGAACGAACGCTTGGAGCGAATCCGGAGCCTGCTGGAACGCCAAGCCCGAGAAGTTGAGGCTTTTGACTCGGAGAGCATGCGCCTGGGCTTCAGCAACATGGTGCTGTCCAACATGTCCCCGGATGGGCTCAGCAACAGCTTTCCTGGGGCTCACGTAAGTTGGAGTCAGCCACAGCACCCGTCCGGAAGCTCCCCGGGGTCGCAGTGGGGCAGTGGCGGCTCGGGCGGAGGGTCAAGCCACCACGGCGGCCATCACCACTATCACTCCAGTCCGGGAGGGGCACCTATGCAGCAGGGCTGGGGGCAGGGCATGCAGGGAGGCGGGGTTCCGTCGCCGTGGGGCCACCCATCCCGCAGCAGTGGAGGTATACAGAACAGCCCCCAGGCAATGGGGAGGACACCCTCAGGAGGGCGCAGCGAGCAGAACATGAGCAGGAGTACCAGCGTCACCTCTCAAATATCTAACGGGTCGCACCTCTCCTACACATAGATCCCCTGTCGGCCCCTGGCGTCAGAATTTGAGCGTGGAGACGTAGAGTCCAACAAACGAAGCAGGACAGAATAATGGCAGAGCTCTGCTTCTCTGTGTGTCTCTCTCTCTCTCGCTCTCTCTCTCTGCGTTTCTCCCGTGTACAGATGTGGATGTGCGATGAAATAAATGTTGCTCAGGTCAAAAGGGCTGGAAGAGACGCAGCCCGTCCTCACGGCAGTTTATCGGCACACACACAGATCCTTAAATTTATGTTACATAAGAAATTTGAGCGTCAACACATAATGCTCCTATTTTGTTTTTATTTACAGCTCTCTCCTTCTGATTTTTTTTTTTTTAAATGTACATTATGTGCTTTTCACAGCCATCGCTTTCATTTTGCACATGACACACTGTTAAAAAGCTTTTGACATGTGTGAACAATGTCCTTTAGAAATGTGGTATCAAACAATCACAGAGAACTCATTTTATTTAGGACGCCCTCACTCTCCCGATTCTTATTCTGTTATACACTGGTCCATTTTCTGACGGTGGTTTAAAAAAATGCGGCAAACCTAACTAAAGATGCGTTGCTGTTGTGATACCAGCCTGCTGTAATGGTCATTGTGATAACTTTTATTTTTCAGTCACTGCTTTTTATTTCACCCGACTTCCTGGTCAGCAGCCAAAATGAGACTTAAATCCAGAGCCAAATAAACAAACCGTAACCGTTTCAGGCGTATGTTACAACACTACTACAGTGCCTTTTTAATCCTTGATTCTAAAAATCCATCTCACATGTTTATAGTTTTGATCATTTTAAATTTCATCATCCGTTTAGAATCAGTGCCAGTGTAAGTTTAGTTTATTTTCTTTTAATTCCAGAGGGTCTGAAAAATACTTATATTGGTGTATATCAGTAACTACATTGTTTTGGTCTTTAGAGTGGTGGTACTCTAGAATGTCATTGTACACATTCACAGGAGGAGATTACAAAACATAGGAGACTACTTTGCCTTCAAAAACGATCCTAGTATTGATCTGTTTATTTTTTGTTGTTTTTTATTAGTGCCTTTTTAAACTGCTGCCTTTTTCGAAGCACTTTAAACAGCGGAATGTGTGTAAAGTTTGACTACTTCTCGCTGAGCACCTGGTGGATCGAGTGTGTCGTCGGTACCCATGTTGTGAAGTTGACCCGTGCTGTGATTTGTAGGAGCAATTTCCCCAAGTACAGATAAGACCTAGTGTATGACAATATATACAGTATGTGAATAAGAGCCCCCCCCCCCCCCCTTTTCTGCAGCTTTAACTGTGTTTAGAACCTGTAGCTGCTGTTGGTTATCTCCTCCGTGTGTTTATGCAGAGTTTTGATTGAATAGAGGACGTGAGGATGCTGCAGGCTTTTTCAAATATGTCTTGGCTACAGTTTCATGAAACAAAAGGTTAACTGACGAGAGTCCATTACGTGCAAGCAGAAGAGCGCTTCAGATAATTGTCACGACCATGACAGCAGGCTCGGCACTACTAGGAAAACTACAACACTGTTAAACATGTTGGGGCCCAGTTAAGTAACACTAACGATGTAAAAGGTGCTAAGTTATAAATGTTACACTGTCTCCTCAGAACCCAAAAACGGGGGGGGACTGAAACAAGCACATGCTCGCATGATGACGTTGTATCGCATACATGTAAATTGAGTCAATGCGCACTCTGTGGAAAAACAGCCAAATATGAAATAAATGTGGCAAAAAAAGCATTTAGGTATTCCTTTTGATAGCTCTCGCAGTTCCTCTGATAATATCCGTCTCTGCTCACTCGCTTCTCTCTGAAGTTATGCTTTTTTATTTCCATGCAGAGTTTAAAACATTTAGTTTGAAAGGCCATTTATAGATAATGATCCAGAGATGAGAAGGATAATATGCTCCCTTGAATCACAAAGCTGGTGTTAAATGTTCATATGTGTATATTTTATTAAAAGAAAACATTTAAAGACTAAACTCACATTTTAAGAAAATAATTTCTAAAAACTAACTTTATTTAACTGACAGACCACACTGATATTAGCAAGCCTTTTTTGCTCAAAGTGGTTTTGAGTTGTCCGGACGTCGCTCATTGGAAGATATTCTTAGTTTTGTGTACACAGATGGAATGCCTCCTCGTATGCATATTTGCTGTCATCTCCTTTTCTTTTTTTTTTTTAAATGCCACTTCTTCAGTCAGGCGGCCGTCTCTGAGCATCATCACTGAAGAGTTTGTTTGATCATTCTCCTCTGGTTCAGAGCCACCTGTTCAAATTCTTTCTGAATGTCACACTGTGATTTTTATTTTTTTTTTCTTAAATAAATATGTATATATTCTATCCTTGAAAGTATGCATTATATCAAGCTGCTTATGGTTTGGTCCCAAAACACAATTTATTTTCTTTTTTTAATGCAGTGACTAGTTCCAGCTACTGTAACACAGCAGGTTATATTCATCATTTCCTTTCTGATTTATTGATACTTGGTAAAGAAAAGGAGAATATATTCATCGTGATCTGAATCTTACATTAAGTCAAAAGCCAAGAGTTTGAATGTCAGGCCAATCAAACCTCACATACATGCCAACCTTAAGTTTGTATGCACAACTTCTGTTCAATTTTATGTCAATGTGTGTGTGAGGGAGTCTGGATATTATTGTCAATCATTGTCTCCACAAACCTGGATTTTTTTTTTTTTTTTTTACTTTAACTTTGATGTCAAATTGTGTCCTACTGACTGAAAGCTTTTGGGAAACAGAATGAGAATCGGCAACAAAAATGGCGGTCCTTTTTTTATGGTCAAACACTGTGCCATACCTGAGTTGCCAAGCACAGATACCACTGCATTGTCTCATCGCCATGTTTTTAACCTATCAGTGGGCGGACAGCATGAAACGTATGAAACATAGAAACAACTTGGTTCTGGTCTAGTGGCCAAAGTTAAAAGGCTTGAAAAGATCAAGTGGATGACAGGCAAATTATGAAAAGAGATTGCATTTCTTTGAAGATGTCAGTATTCTTCTTTGGCACATTACCACTACAACTCATAACCTGTATTAAAATGTATAGACGGTGGAAACTTGTTATTGAATGTCAGAGAGATTATAAAGATACTACATAAGAGATGGTGAAAGTACTAAAAGTGAATTTAAATTGTGTAAAAAGATTCATAAAACAGAATAAAAATAGGATCAAATTTACTATTTGTTTGTATTATATTTAGCATTGTGTTGGCAGAGGGATATTGAACAGAAATCAGCTGTAATAAAATAATTTTAGTATATCTGGCCTTGTGTTTTTATTGTATTTATTTGTGTTGCTGTATTATGGCATTCGTGTGGCATGCAGGAGGACCACAGTCAATCAACCAATGATATTCAAGGAGCGTTAAAAACAGGCGTTGTCTTGCGTCATATCGTTGAGGTTCAACACATGCGCAGTTGAATCTGGTCTGAAAGGCTCCCTTGCCGGCTCACGAGCTTACCCCAAGAGTTAAGGCTGCCGAGCGCAACCAAATAGCACGTGAGCGGACTCGATCCCAGTTTTCTAGCGCCGTGTGCAGTGACACTCCCAACGGCAATGCTGCGGTTGAACTGCGCATGTACCAAACCCAAAAGCTTCCAACCTTCATTCAATAGCCTTGTCCTACAAGCGGAAATACATGCAACGTGATATGTGACGAGTATTGTAAACAAATGTGAATGTTTTGCTGGCCTGTTAAAGGAATGCCGGTACAAGAGTCGTTTATTTGAGTGAGTAAATAGTCGAATCAACTAAACCATCTTCTGTCCGTTAACAATCATGGATACGTGACTAATATAACTTCACGTTAGCTGTAAGCTGCAGTTTGTTCCTCTGTAACTTCGTCTTGTTCAACTTTAGCTGCCAAGCTAACGGTATAGACGTCTCTAACGCTAAAGAAGCATTATTATATTATAGTACAATACATTTATATTCCCTGCATCGAGGACATCGACCCTACAACTCTGTAGGCATTATAGTAATGGTTTATAACGTTTAGTAACGTTGACTTTTGCAGCTAACGTGAACTTATGTGTTGTAGAATGCATCAATTAGGCCTAATAGACATTTAAAGTAACTCAGCTGAAATGTGTGGACACTGATTTACTATTTTTACTTTAAACAGCTAAATGAGAAGAAGTGTGAGGTTAGCCATTGAATTGGCAACACCCGTGTTGTTTTTTATCTTGGTCAACTTTTTTTACAATTTATATGTTATAAACGTGTGATACGTAATTGTTATTGCTCACATTAGCTCACATTAGTGTGCCCAACTCAATAGTCTTATTTATTTATTTAATAAAATATGATATTACATTATGCATACAAACCTTGATATTTACAGAATATATATATATATATATATTTATTTTTTTATTTTTATTTTTTTTTTATGTATGCACTGTTATGTCACAAGGTTATGACATAAACTGTATGTTCCCTGACGGTAAACACATATTAGAAGAATTACTCTTGAAAAGTCAGGTGAATACTCACGGTATAAATACTTGGATCATAATACCAGAAGGCATCACTTATTTGTACTGTACGTGTGGTGTCCTCACAGAGCTCCAGGATGTTGTGTGAAGTCGTGCTGTCGTCACTATGGTTCCTGTTTGTTATCTTCTGGGTCGAGACAATAAGTGTTTGGCTGTTTCTGTCCATGTTCTACCAGGAGCGGGCTTTTTACTACTGGGGAGACGGGTAAGAGATTTTTTTTATGTGCATTACATATGCATAATAAGTTGTTCAACATTAGACAAAAGAGTTAAAACACATTCTCACTCTATGCTAAAGACATATATAGAAAGTCCTATACTTATTTATACCCTTAGCCTTACTATCAACTAAGCCATGTAACCAAAAGAGAGCCAGATTGTTGTGTGGTATGGGTCCCAGATCTATGACTTTGTTTTCCCCGCAAACACTTATTTGTCAATTTACTTGGAAGTCGAGGGAGAGAAGAAAAGTTAGAATGGCATGCGTTGAAGGTAAATGAACACTATGTTTTAATAGAACTATTTGGTTTATGTTACAGGGTATTTGCAGATGATCCTGGACAGATAATATACATGTTTAGCAGGTAAGAACTGTATTTTTGTCCTGAATAATTCATTTTATAACTATTTGTGTGCAAGGTATAATCTCTTGTCTCTCTCCAGAGTTGATATTCAGACAGAGATGCAGACCTGAGATGGAAAAAATATCAAGAACTCTGCAGAAAGGACTCAATAGAGGCTGTTGCAGTTCTTCGACTGAACGACAAATGATGGAAAGCAGTAGCTGTTTTTTCTTTGCATTGACTGCCTTGCACACAGTCCTTGTTAACATCATTACATTTTAATAATAGGTGGTGGAGAGTTGCAGCACGAGTGAAGGCGCAACTAAGATGTATAGGGAGGTCCTCAATGGTTGATGTGTGTCATACCCACCAATTTAAAATGTATATTTTCACTTTAAGATGTTGGGGAAGCAGAATGAATGAAGCATAAAATGCTTGGTTCGTTTGTTCTTTTTTTAACTCCATTTTGAGAAGATGATGTTTTGATGATAGTGCCGTTCTATGCAACTACAGTTGTTGCTGTCTGCAGCTATAATTGTGTTTTAGATTTAGATTTACTGCAATATCAGATTGCAGTACATCTGTTACAAGTTATAAGTTGTGGCCTTTATCTGCGGAGGGATTTTGCTCAGTTGTCATGTGTCTCTATCCCGATATAAGAACGCATATTACAAGACTGAAATTTCATGCTGAGGATACATGATAACTGAGCCATTTGAATAGCAACTGCTAAAGCTCCATCTGCTGTTGAAGATCACAAGATAGGATCAAAAGCCCTAAAAGTGGACCTTGTGTTCCCAATAGTTTTTTTCCGAAAGGAGCAACGTATTCTGTACACATAGTATGTCAAATGCAGTATACCAAAAATATCCAGATGTTCTGCTTCTCTGGCAATTTTACCCTCAATACTCTGCGCAGCAGATACAAGCAAGAGGGTCAAAGTGCAGGGTGCACTATTATAAGGAGGAGTCTGTCCCAATTCAATGCATACTGCATGCAACAGTACTTTGTAAGGGCAGCTGCTGTATGTACTAAAAGTAAAAAATCAGGAACACAGCCCTGATTTGTGTGTCTAAAGACAAAGATAATAGTGGGGAGAGTATGCCCCATGTTAGGACTCCTCCCTCAGAGCAATATGTCAGTATTATATCTAGTTAATGAAATAAAATGTGAACTTATACATTTTAAATACACAACTCTTTGCAAGCCTGTCAGATTATTGGTCTGCCTAAATATTTTTGCATTCCTTCTCTGTCAATTAAAGAGTTTGCTTTTGAATAAAACCAGCAGATAGTTTGGGTGTCATTTTGAGACGAACAATGTCAATATTGTTTTGTAAACATATGCTAAATAAAAGTATTTTTAAGTGCAACATTTGTTTTTCTGAGTGCTCCATTACGCAGCCTAACACCTCACATGCCAGGTCAGTAGGGGTCGCTCACGAGCCTCCTCAGACCTGTGAAAGTCAGTCCACCACCGGGGTCATCGGCCTATGCTGCCGGGTCGGAATAATAATGCAGTATACATTGTGATTAAAGTCAGATGTAATAGTTGTTGGTAGATTTACGTGCATCGAGGACTTTGTTAGTCATCTGGCGTATTATTGTTGATTATTTGTGCAAACAAATAACTGTTTTCAGTTGTGAGCATTTTGTCGTAAACATGGCTCCAACGATTCAGACACAATCTCAACGAGAAGACGGCCACAGGCAAGTAAAGACAAACATGTTTACAAGGGTGTTGAACTACCTGGTCGTCTTCATTGGATAATTAATGTTATTGAGTTCATGTTAAAGCAGCTACAAGTCGTCGACATTTGCTTGTTAGGGGATCAGTTGTGTCCAACATTAGCTAACGATGCTAGTTAGCAGCTAAACGAAGAAGGAAGCATAGCATCAAGTAGCTTGCTAGGGTAAATAAGCGCGCTAACCTGACTATTTAGCGTTAATTAAATACTTTAGATAGCGTTAAGTACATTTCATCTATCCAGTCAGTCGGTATAACTTAACACGGTGGCACATCAACAGGCCAACACTGTTAATGAAAACTAAACGTGTTTTTTAAGAAGGCTAAAGTGAGCCAGTCCTCATGCTAACAGTAACGTGAAGCTAGTAACGCCTGGCAGAGCATCGTGCATTAACCTAACTATCCTCGACTGTAATGTGAAGCCAGTAACTTAGTGGAGAGCATTCGCACACAGGCTGTTCTTTAGTGGTCCACAACCTTTAGACATGAAGTTAAGTGGTTCCCACAGTGATTCTCGGCATAAAAAAAAAATGTAAACATGCATCTATCCACCAAAGCATAATTAAAAAAAAAAGGTTAAAGAGAGCAGTGAATAACGCTGGAGCCATATTCAGTTCCCTTTTACAGAAACATTTCAATGTCGCACTCTAGTATTAGTTTATAAGAGATGGTCTGACACATTTCTGTTTTCTCTTCCAGTAGGCCATCCTCTCACAGAACTGTTCCAGAGAGGTAAGCACATTTAGCACTGAATAGTATTTATTATTGTGTACAGTCATTCCGAGTGCCTCCATTTTAAAAGTATGCAAAATGTGTCTGAGTAACCCAAACTGTACTTTTGTGCCCATGACAGGTCAGGGGTGGTCTGTCGAGTGAAGTACTGCAACAGCCTTCCTGACATCCCCTTTGACCCCAAATTCATCACATATCCGTTTGATCAGCACAGGTAAACATCCAGCCTCTCCGCCCCACGGGTGGAGCACACACTGATGAACATGGTCACAGCTTGACATTTGTGTTTCTGTTGTGGCAGGTTTGTACAATATAAAGCCACTTCTCTAGAGAAGCAACACAAACATGAGCTCCTGACTGAGCCAGACCTCGGGGTCACCATTGACCTCATCAACCCAGACACCTACCGCATAGACCCAAATAGTAAGTCTCTCGTTGTCGTTGCATGTGACCTACTGTTGGCCGTTTTCTTTCACACATGACTGTGCTTTGTCAATTGTCAGTGTAGACTGAACCCTTCTTTCAAATTCTCAGTACTGCTGGATCCTGCTGATGAAAAACTGTTGGAAGAGGACATCCAGGCTCCATCCAGTTCGAAGAGGTGAGGCTGCTGAATAGGCAGCTTTTGTGGTCTTATATATTCATGTGGAGATGTTGTTTAACAGTTTCATCTTCCCTATAAGGTCACAGCAGCATGCCAAGGTGGTCCCGTGGATGAGAAAGACGGAATATATTTCAACGGAGTTCAACAGATACGGCGTTTCCAACGAGAAAGTGGAAGTCAAGTAAGTTGACGAAATGTGTTCACGTTGAAATGACCGAATGGTTTTGTGTGTATATAATCTAAATATGTTTTGCTTTTAGGATTGGTGTATCTGTCAAACAGCAGTTTACAGAAGAAGAAATCTACAAGGACAGAGACAGCCAGATTTCTGCTATTGAGAAAACATTTGAGGATGCACAGAAAGCGGTGAGTGAGCTCTGCAGAAGTGGAGGACTGTTTGTAATGCCCAGCTGTCGGATGCAAGTCAGCACATTGACCCAAAATGCAGAAGTATTTTTGGCTTAAAAAGAATGTGCTATGGTTTGTAAACATGTTGTGGTTTCTCTCCAGATTGCACAGCACTACAGTAAACCCAGAGTTACTCCTGTGGAGGTCCTACCTGTGTTCCCCGACTTCAAGGTGAGCTATAATTTCACTCTCACTTTGAGTCTCTGTGGATGATTTCAAATTAAATGTCACAGGCACCGTAGCAGGAGAAGTGCTGGGAGGGAAAAATATGTAACCCTTCACAATAAAAGACAAGAAAATGTACATGATTTAAATAACTACATTTCGTACATTTTGGTCTCTTTCTGCAGATGTGGATCAACCCATGTGCTCAGGTCATCTTTGACTCTGATCCTGCACCTAAAGACCATACAGCTCCACAAGGAGTGGAAATGATGTCTCAGGCCATGATCAGGTATTTAGAAAATATCTGTTGCCTGGATGTCTGTTTAAAGAGTAAGATTTTTGCATCAACACTAATTATGTTTCATGTCTCTTCATTACAGAGGTATGATGGATGAGGAAGGAAATCAGTTCGTGGCTTACTTCCTGCCCCATGAAGAGACAATCCGCAAGCGGAAGAGAGACAGCGATGAGGGGATGGATTATATGCCTGAGGACTTGTACGTGAAAATACTATATGAAGAAAATCATACATTTGAAAATCACTTTGTTGCTCTGCTTTGCTTGTACACCAGGAAGTAATAATAATGCTTTTTATTTTCTGTTTTTGCAGGTATGATTACAAGATAGCCAGGGAGTACAACTGGAATGTCAAGAACAAAGCCAGCAAGGGTTATGAGGAGAACTACTTCTTCATCTTCAGAGATGGAGATGGTGTTTACTACAATGAGCTTGAGACACGGTGAGTCATTGATCAGACAAGACACTTGTTTTGTTGGTGCACATCAACATGAAAGATATGCAGCTGCTGTGTTATCGACTGCAAATGTAGATGTTTTATGGAGTTTGTTGTAAGTTGATAGATAAAGGCACAAAATGAACAGCGCCACGACCCTGATTAATGGGGGTTTGATGAGAAACTGTTAGGCCTTGTCCTCTTACAGCCTTTCTTCTGTCCTATAGGGTGCGTCTGAGCAAGAGGAGAGCCAAGGCTGGAGCACAGTCGACCACTAACGCAGTGCTGGTGTGTAAGCACAGAGACATGAACGAGAAGGAACTCGAAGCCCAGGTAAGAGTACTTTCTACTTCACTGATTTTCTTGATGTTAGACTGAACACTTTGTTTTTTTCTTTTCTTTTATTAAAAGGTATTTCTGGCACTTATTGTGACAGTGCTGTGTTATTGGAAGGAAAACTTTTTATTTAAATTATTTGTCTTATTTAATTAAAGTGTACTTTTTCGTTCAATACCTCCACATTTATTTCAAAACCACAAACGTAAGGAAATAGACTTAACCTAATATTAATTACATTAATTTGGTTTTTCAACATTATCTAAACAAAGTAATATTTAGATTAATTGCCATGGAGGCTGTATTTGTCTGTTTTTAGTTTTTAACAATCCTAACATCATCTAAACTAATGACTGGAGCTGTTCCAGCATTACCTCTAAGCTTAGCTTATTGAACAGTAGTGTACTGAAGGCTGATTCTCTGTCATTGTGATTCTTAGGATGCACGTAAAGCTCAGCTGGAGAACCATGAGCCAGAAGATGAAGAGGAAGACTTGGATAAGGACCTGCAGGACTCTGGTCAGTTTTCTTCTATTCTCTACATGTTCATTCCTCATCACAGTGTTCGTACTTATTCGGCCACCTGCTGCACTGTAGTAAGAGTAGGTCTGCGAAATGACGACAGTTTTTTTTTTTTTTTGTCAGTTTCTATTTCTGTCTGTGATATTTGAATTGTCTTCTCCAGGTGATGATAAAGAGAAGGGCAGCGGCAGCGAGGCAGAGAACTCCGGCAGTGAATCCGAGAGGGAAGACGAAGAGCGCGAACAGAAGCCAGAGGAGGGAGAAGAGGAGGCGGTGGCGGCGGCGGCCCCAGAGAAGCGGAAGAGGAAGGCGAGCGGCAGCGGGAGTGAGAGCGGCGAGGATAGGACCAGAGAGATGCGAGACGAGGAGGAGATCTTCGGCAGCGACGACGAAAACGACAGCGACAACAACAAGAACTCCGGAGCCAGCGGGGAGGAGGGCAGCGGAAGTGAGGATGAGAGAGGGAACAGAGGAGGCAGCAGGAGTCGCAGCGCCTCTCCAGCACACAGTGAGCGCAGCAGTGACCACTCGGAGACCCGGGCCCAGAGTGGGAGTGGAAGTGAGAGAGGCTCAGATTCCAGTGGTGACAGTGACAGTGAATAGAATCTGTAGTACGGACACCTTTCTTACCTTTACATTCAAACACGGCAGTGTTGCGCTGTCACTGACCTTGGTATTAGCTCAGTCTGGGGATGTAGTTTCTTGATAATTGCAAATGTCAAATTAAATTTGTGTGGGAGATGCTCATTGTTTTTGGACTGGGGACATCTCTCTTCAATCCTGTTTTTAACTGTAGATTCAACTTTCGCACCTGTAGCCATTTGTCCACCATTCATATTGTTTTGTCCGTCAGATCATGGATCACAGGATCATGTAAAAATGTCTCTCGGCTTTTGACTTGTCTTTGTGTTACGGCTTTAAAAGTGATAATAAAATGCAGGTGACATTTTGTAAGAAACGGTGTTCACAGGTTGTTGTTTTTCTCTCTTTAATGGATTTAGGGAACCTGTAAGTAATCTCATGAATGTAACTGTTTATTTTATAATCCGCCCAAAGAAGTAAAGGACTCGTCTGTGCTCCATTTAAAAATTAGTATTTGATTTGTGTAGTCGGTTCAGACATTTCTTAGACAAAATAGGGGATTATTCACGTCTACAATTGTTAATGTAAAACTGACAAATCAAAACTTCCTTTCATACAGTAAGTCATTTAATAATAACATGCACAGCAATTGAAAATTACGATCAACGGCCATGTTTCACAAAGAAACAGACTGATAGTATTGCACATTCAGCCAAAAAATCCCAACTGGTTCTTCAGCCATTCTTCCGTCAAGTCATCAGCATTTCTTGTTTCAAAGACCTCAAAGTAAAGGAGAGAATTCAAGACGTCAACGCTACAACACCATGAAGACTGAAAGAAGTTCAGAGATATTCAACAATACTCGGGCTGCTCATGAATAAGGTAGAAGAATGAAAACAAACGCATCTAAAAGTATAATATATAACTTGCTAAACATGTTGCCAATCAACTTCAAAATAATTCATCATTTGGTTTTATAATCAATAATTGTCCCATTTTAATGAGACCAGCATACCAGTGGAGTCATAACGGACTACAGGTCATCATTTTGAGTCCATTACCTTTGTGAGCTCTGCAGCTTGCACCAGTCGAGTCTTGCTGCCGGCATACATCATCTGTTGCGATGGCTTACATCCTGTTCAAACGAAATTTACATTATTCCAAGAGAATCTGTAATTTGACCAGTCAAACATTCCTCAAATCCAATAAATGGATGGTGACAATCATTTTGAATAAAGTGAATTTCAGACAAAAGGAGACACCTGTTCATTTAACAGTTAAGTTCTACTAAGCCGAACAATATTAATCAAAGGAGAAAGATTACTTTTGCTGTAAGGTACTGGTATTACTTACCCATTGGACTGGAGAATATGAAACACAGAGGGTAAGACACCCTTCCATCGTCATGGACATATTTGTAGCTGTAGACCATGAACGTGCAAGACTGTCAAGGAATTTAAGACTTTTTGTCAGCTTTAAAACACTGATACTGTATACTTTTAAGAATTTAAGAACTTTGCTATATTCTTAAAACGGGATAAGAAGGATATCTGGGTTGCCGCTCTGGGAGTGCATCTCTCAACTCATCCAGGGAGATGTCCTAAAAGACAAAGTTGATTTGACTTTAAATTCAGAATAACCCCCCCCCCCAAAATAACTAATTTGACTTGCCTCATATTCCTCTTCAAGGATAACAAGCTGTTTCTCCATGTCTATTTTCACTAAGAAATAAAAATGATTATTTAGGCTTTTGTTTAATATTTGTTGATGCACTGATATTCGTAAGGGATTTGAATTTGTGTCGATCAACCGACAGATGTGTTGACATTCATCAATAGTATGTGATACTTACTTAGTATGGCAGCATTGTTGGTCTCTTTTCGAAATCTAAACTTTTTCAGTTTAGCTTTCAGACTTTCATCCACTTCACACACAACCAGAGAGCTTGACTGCAAAATGGTGTAAAAATATATCAGTCAAAATGTGTCAGTCTCAGAAATATTAAAATATGTCCTGATGCTCCTGATAATGTTATGTGAATTGGCCTACAGGCCAGAAATAGAAACAAAGAAAAGGGGGTAAGAGACATTGGCTCCATCTGTTCCGATGTTGAGATCTCTATCCACCTCGCATTAAACATTCATAAAACTATTCTGACATATTGAGGGCAGGAAATGATTTTGCTGCGACATGCGAGAGTGTAGTTTCCTGTTTGAAAGTGTGCGGCGGACGGTCGACTTGTGTCACGATGGTTCACGTAGAAAAAAAACCAAGACACAAACATGTATGAATGACAGTTCATCAAATCTAGTACATTTCAAAAGAAAAGCAAAATCTTTCAAGCAATTGCATCAGATTCACCTACCATTCTCAAAGGATCCTGTTCTGCCTTCCTGTCTTTCAGGCGAGAGGGCCTTGTTGAAACAGGCAGACCTGCGACAAACTGACAGCTACTCTCAGACTGTCAACCTCCTCCTGATGTCAGGGGAGTGCAGGCAGCAGTTTGTGCTTCCTGTTTTCACAACACAGCTCAGCCGAGTGTTGCACAAAACAGTCTCACCATCTTTTTTTACGCATGTAACGCAATATGGAAAAAAATATGCATAACAAACCCATGCATCTTAGTATGACTGATGAGATTGTGTTGAATGGATCCACACAGTTTGAAGTTGAAGAAGCACAATTTGACTCTATGTTGTCTATCACAGTCATTTGTGGGATATCATTGGTGTGATTAGGGTTACTCTCACTTCCCATTACCATACAGGGATGGGCATCAAATAGAAACTTGCAAAGCTTGAAAGCTTCCTCAGATCCTTTAAACTAACAGTAGAATGATTGTAAAATGTGTTATGTAAGTAAAAGTACAGAAACATATGCAGTAAAACGTAAGCTACGCTAAAGTAAAACAACTTCATAAAAAAAAGGTTCCTGTCACAGTATCATGTTACTGTTACTGCTCTCTACTGGTAGAAACTTTCGGCATGTTGCAGCTGCGGCCCCACCCCGATCAGTGATGTGTAAGCAGGTCTCTGTACCTCTGTGTTCTGTGGTGTGTGTTTTGCCTCCGACAGCTGAAAGCAAACACCTGCTGCAACAACCGATTGTAACTAAAACACATTATATGCTTTCAACACATTCAGACTAATGCAACAGCAGTTATTTGGTGTTTATTAACCCTTAAACATTTGGCCATTAGTTGTAGTGTTGGTGGTTCAAATTCCTTTGGCTAGACTAACTCTTCTAGTTTCTCCAAAGTGAGGTTTTACTGCTTTAAATCATTGTAAATTAGGTATATTTAGCTTTAGGTTTTTGTCAGACAAAATGGGCAATTTTAGGGCATCACCCTGGACCTTGGGAAAATGCAATGTCAGCGTTTTTTGACGTCTTCTGGTTATAATGTTTTTTTTGCCCATAGTGCCGACTTTTACTTCAACAAAAACACATTGTGTGTTTACCAGTTACTTCATGTACACGGTATAAAGCTCATGGGCCTATGCAACATGTGTTTACATATTAGGGTGTAAGCGATACTTTATTTCCTAGACAGTGGGAGGAACAAAACATTGCGTACCGTCCAGACGTGTGACGTCGTACTCACGTCTTGCGTCAACTCAAAATCGAAGTAGATTTCTCCAGGCGTACACTCTTTATTTTCTGCATTGCAATAAACATTTTGTACATAACTTCTTTAACATGGCCTGTTTGAAACCGCGGGAGCTTGCCGCTGTAACGGAATACCCGTAGGAGTACCTCGTATGGGATCGAGATCTACGCTTCTTTCAGCTAAGCTAACGTTATTGCATCTGTTAGCAAAACTTGCTAGCTAAGAAGCTAGCGCTAGCACTTAGCGATCCCTACCGTCGAGCTAGCTATGCAGTAGCACGTTAGCCTAGCTCGCTAACCAGTGACAACTGACACAGGTAAACAACAAACCTTTTGAGTCTGTTTATTATTAATCACAACTAACATAACTCCACACAGTTAACTAGCTAGCTACAACCGGCTGTCGATTAAACGTGCCTGTTTGCACCGCTAAGATTGAAGTAACGTTACGAAACGTTAGAGAAGGGGTAACAGTTAGCGACAGCGTTAACGGAGGACTGAACAAATCCTGAATCCCTCATCGCTTACTCTGCTGGTCGAGCTGGTGATGGGGGAAACGAAGCTTCCTAAAGCACTGAATCACTATGAAGCAATTGTGTGTTTAAAATGTTTTACTGTTTCGAAGCATTTGATACAGTCAAGAATGTCGACACCTGCTGGCTAAACCTGCATTTGTATGGGTGGATTAAGTCGGAGAACCATGGTGAAACACTTAGTTAGTTAGTCATTTGACGCTTTCATTTGTGCTATTTTCTCAGTAACACGTTTTTAAACAAAGGGTCTACAGCGAAATATTAAGGCAGTATGGGCAAAAACATCCCGTATTCAAAACGAGCGCGACACCTCACTTTACGAGGCCTCGTTTGGGGTGGTCACGTGATTTGCTATGAAAAGTCGAGTTGTGTTATTGAGAATAACATAACTGGACCAATCTAACTCTGGCTATTTGCTATCTATTGCCGGGCTCCCGGGTTTAATGTTACCCTGTCTCGCAGGGATAATCATGACAACTGTCTTCTGACCAAAGCCTATCGTCAGACACAGGGCTGTTCTTCAGTCAAAATATCTCAAAACAGTTTGCATTGATGGCACTTACTAGTTTTGGCATTGAACGTTAACATACCCTTGCTTGTTAGTCATCATGTTGGTGTTCTACTTGTCTTCAGTAGCGGATAAACAGTGACTTATAATTAGCCAACCTGTTGTAAATGCAGTGCACTGAAGACGGTCCTTAGAAGCCTATTTCAGTGGTAATGACCTGGACTCTTATCTTTTGGATTAAGTGTTTGGCACTCCTTCTGTGATCGACTTGCGCCCTTATCATTATGATAGGAGTCTCTGAGTGCTAATGTTTATAAGTAAAGCTTACCTCAAATAACACTTACGGTCACAGTTACTGATCCCTGCCATTCTTTGCATACCATAAAAGGTGGAAGCAGTGTGTCTTTCCTATATTGGTGTGTGCTATAATCTCTTATTTATGTATGATTCTACAAACTTGTTGCTGTAAATTCAGTTTGTCACTCACTGAAGCTGATGATCCATCTCCATCATTATGCAAATTATGACTCTTGTTTGCAGCCTTCAGGCAAAAAAAACATGTGCCCAAACAAGACTGTCTTGATATCATATTCCAGCACTAAATCTGTGGGATGAATAGATCAACTTAATCCATCAAAGCACTTGTGTTCATTGTTTATATATAAACGTGTGGTTGTTGTCATGCTGAACGCAGTAAAATTAGAAAAGATAAACCAATCTGGAATGTGTATATATAAAGCAAATATTGGGTTGGTTTATATTTTATATTGGAAGTAGACATTGGCTGAATTGTCATTTAAGATTTTTCTCTTTATCCGTTTTGTTGATTTTGATAGGGCACAGATGATGTAATCCTGAACATGCCACAGTGAAAAACCAAGCGTTTCCTGTTTGTGTCGCTGCCACCTACGATTGACACACTTAATAAAGCCTCACTTCACAAGACATCTTCCCCGATAATCTACACGGCATCCCTGTCTGCAGCTCCTTCTGCACCTGAATCATGTGAGGGCCCCTCGGTCCAGTCTGAGGGGATCCCAGGACTGTTGCAAATACGACCCCCGCTGTGCGGGGTGAGACTGAGCCTGTCTGTGTCTGAGAGAGAGAGAGCAGTCTCTCCAGTACACCCCCCCCCCCCCCTCCCCTCCCCATCCACACATTCCTGTTCTCCTCACCAAGGAGACACGCCATGATGTTCCGAGACCAGGTAGGTATCCTCACAGATTGGTTCAAGGGCTGGAATGAGTGTGAACAGACGGTGGCACTGTTGTCCCTCCTGAAGAGGGTGTCGCGCACCCAGGCTCGCTTCTTACACATCTGCCTTGAACACTGGCTGGCAGACTGCACAGAGATCCACATCCTCGAAGCTGAGGCCAACAATGCAGGTAGCTGAGAAGTTTTCTGATTATAGGAGTATTGTATTAGATATTATTGATTATCTCTGATTATAAAACACTGTTAGTTCTATCTTTTCCAAAAACTAAACAAACGATTAATTCAAAATGAGTTGCCGGTGAAATTCTCTGTTTGCCCTTTGTCGTCAGCAATTGTCAGCCAGTGGCATCAGGAGCCAAAGGAGAAGGTTGTGTCCTTGCTGCTGTCCCACCTGCCTCTGCTGCAGCCGCGCAACAGCGAGGCCAAATGTGAGTACATGAAGCTGCTGCAGAAGGTGTTGAGTCACACTATCGAGAGCAGCCTGTTTGTGGAAGAAAGCAGGCAGCTGCTGTCCTACGCGCTCATCCACCCGGCCACAACACTGGACGACCGCACCTCTCTGGCCATGTGGCTAAACCACTTGGAGGAGCACCTATCCAGTGGCTACGCCCTCCGGGCCCCGTCTAGCCCCTACCACCCACGCCAGGGCTCAGATGAGTGGCCCGGCTCTGCCGAGGCTCTGGACCCCGGTCACGCCTGGCACGACTCATCCAGCACGTCTCCAGCGGGCCAGAATGGACACATGTCCTTCCCAGGCGGGATGTCCTCTCCCATCAACAGCAATAACACAGGTAATGTTTGCCCTTCTCCTCCATCTTTCACATTGGGGGAAAACATAAAGAAACAACCCAGACACCCCCCATATTGTGCAAACAGTGTGCTTGTTGTTAAAAATCTTAGAGTATTCACATTTCTTAAATTTCTTTCACACACATTCCCCAGAATTCCTGTGGTTTCTCATATATTCATTGTTTCTCTGGCCAGGTCTCGTTGGACACATGCAGCCCAGCCCTCTGAAGAAGTCCATGTCCGTTATTCCTTCCAGTCCCCAGGCTTGCGTCTCCGAGTGGGTCAGCCAGGATGACATAGGGGGCCGGCAGAACTTCATTCTAACAGACCACGCACCCCTTTCGCCCCAGAGCAGCGTAGCCTCCTCGGGCAGTGAGCAGACAGAAGAACAAGGCTCCTCTCGCAACACCTTCCAGGAGGATGGCAGTGGCATGAAAGGTCAGAGTTCATTACCTAATTGAGCCAAGGCGTGCAGCCGACAGCTGTGGTGATAGAAGCCAAAATGTAACATTACTTTTTTTGTGTCCCTTGCCTGTATTTTGTTTTTTCTAGATGTTCCTGCATGGTTGAAGAGTCTCCGCCTTCATAAATATGCATCACTTTTCTCCCAGATGACCTATGAAGAGATGATGATTCTCACTGAGCACCACCTGGAGTCGCAGGTTCTTAAGACTCCTTACAACGTACTGTACACTGGGGCTTTGATCACTCCACCCTCCTTATCAATTTTAAACATTACTGTCCTCGAACCTGATGATACATCAACTCTCAATGAGGCATGAAATTAAGCGACGCACTCTACGGTTATATTGAGCCAGTCACACATACAAATAGTGCGATCTTGCCTCTGCCCCTTGGCTTTAATGAAACAAATGGTGATTAGGTTTGTTATTTTGTAACTGTATGAATTGCACAGTGTTTTCACATGAAATGACTCGTCTGCTTCTCAAGGCATCTTGTTTCTTTCTCTCTCTCTCTCTCTCTCTCTCTCTCCTTTTTTAGAATGTCACCAAAGGAGCGCGGCATAAGATCGCCTTGAGTATCCAGAAACTGCGAGAGAGGCAGAGTGTGCTCAAGTCTCTAGAAAAGGTAATTCAATGGCATTTTCGCTTGTACTGATTAAAAAAAAAAAAAAAAAGTACAGAGTATGTACTCTTTGACGATCATGTGACCGTTTATTTAGTTGCATTGAGCAATTCCCTTTCTGCTCGTCGGCATAGAAAATGTTGAAATGCTGAGCTACAGCTTGGATATCTTCCCGTCTGCACACAACACCACCCTTAAACCCAGAGCGAGCTCTGAATAGCTTATACACTGATGTTGTCATCTCATGGCAGGATATTTTGGAAGGGGGCAACCTGCGCAACGCCCTCCAAGAGCTACAACAGATCATCATCACACCCATTAAGACCGCCAGCCTCCCCAGTGCGGCGCAGATCGCCCTAGACGCAGCCACCTCCCTGTCAGACGCCACAAAAACAGGAGCAGACAAAGAGCCGGCCTCAGAGGGCTTCCAGTCCCACAACCCACCTCCCTGTGATGGAGACTCCTCCGCCACACCCATCTCAGACGGCGACATTGCTGGACAGTTCACCCGCGTCATGGGTAAAGGTGAGAGTAAGATATTTTTGAGTACACGTAGATCGACTCCAGAGGTAGTTATGTGTTTAGTCCTAATAGGAAGCGCTAACAAAACACTGTAATAATGCTGTTACGACATTTTATGCCCATTTCAGCATTCAACATAAAACGTATAGATCCTTAATAATTTATCCATATCTACCCTCAGATGAACATTTATCTCTCAGATCCATATCTACCTAATTGATATTAACATACATACCCTGTGGCTTCTTTTTGTTTCAGTGTGCACACAGTTGCTGGTGTCACGGCCAGATGAGGAGAACATCAGCTGTTACCTTCAGCTCATTGAGAAGTGTCTGACACACGAGGTGAGAACCTGAAGATACATTTTTCATTTGCTTAATATATTTAGGTCGTGTGTGTGCATGCATTGTGTATTTTTGAAATAGCATAAAGACAAATTTACATGAATTGTTAGTAATGGAGAATCTTGTAATAATTTATAGTTTTTTTCTCTCTTTTAAAATGAAGAATAAAACAGTTTTTTTTTCATTTCCAGAAGGATCTGTTTATGCTCTTGGAAATTAAATGTTTTTTGTTCTGCTGTCTCTTTGTCTGTGTCAGGCCTTCACAGAAACTCAGAAGAAAAGGCTGGTGTCCTGGAAGCAGCAGGTCCTCAAACTGCTCCGCCTGTTCCCTCGGAAAGCTATGCTGGACATGCCTGTGTACCGACAGAAAGGGTGAGACTCGCCCTCGGTACCTTTGATCTCCTCCTCCAGCGAGGGAGATGTCGGACCGGCTGAATGTTATATTCTCCCTGCACTCGTCCCTACTCTCTCACTTTTACTTTCTCTTTCAAATGATAACTCGCATTGAATTCTGATGTTTCCTTTTTTTTGTTTTTTCCTCCAGCTGGACCTATGGGTCCAACTCGCTCCCCACAGCAGGCTCTGTGAGTGGAGTTGTAGGGCGGCGGGGACAAAGACAGTTCCAGATGACTCCTCGTGGACTCCCAGCGGGACGCATCGGTCTTCTGAGTCCCGGCGGGATCGGGGGAGCATCTCCACGCCACACACTCACTAATCCTGCGCTGGCAGGCCAGGGTAGACAAGTCAGTACTCCTGTCAATGGATGAGCATTTTAACACCAGTTTGTGACACGTGTAGCTTGCCTTTAGATTGTGGACAAAGCTGATGGAAATACAGTATATCAACCATGTTGTGTTTTATTTCATTTGGAGACTTTTTTGTTTGTTTTTTTGAAGTTATTGTTTAGAACTTTTAACAGGTTTTCCTTCAATATGTGCATTCACTAAGTCTGAAGGGTTTGACCTGCGTGATGACATGTCTAAGGAGTCATGAAAGGCCAGAGTAAACATTTGTTCTGAAAGGAAAACAAATGGAAAAAAAACGAGAGACTTTGGTAGTTTAATCTGTACACACACACACACACACAACAGTACACGGGGTTAGGAATCACATTTTGAAATGAATTGATTTATTATCATAGCTTGAAGGGCTTCTGTTTGGAGTCTGAGGTGAAAGATAACGTTCCAGGTTGAGTGGCATTTGCGTAATGAGAATTTGTGTTTTGCCTTTTTATAGAACCTGTGGTTTGCCAACCCTGGGGGCAGTAACAGCATGCCAAGTCAGAGTCGCAGCTCTGTGCAGCGGACCCACTCACTCCCGGTTCACACTTCCCCGCAAACCATGCTCATGTTCCAGCAGCAAGGTATTGTATGAGGTCAAGCCTCTTTCATTCCTCTTGAACATGGTGTGTGTGTGCACTTACACACAGTCTATCCCAGGCCCACTAGGAGCTCATTCACATGTTGCGTCAAAAAAAAAAAAAAAAAAAGCATGGAAAGTGCCAACCGTGCCACTTTTATGCTTGTCTGTGTCAAATCAGCTGACCTTTCAACACGATGTTGTGACTTTTCATATATATATATATATATATATATATATATATATATATATATATAT